TAATAATAATAATGATAATAAAATAACAATAATAGACAGACTAGACAAGAAGAGAACAAAACTGTTCACAAATTAGAAACAGAACAGTAACAACAACTAGAAACAGACAAAGAAACAACAAGACAAAAACTTTTTCAAAGAACTTTTATCCAAAACCAAAACTAACAAAAATCACTTCAAATATACAGGATGTATATACGCAATAAAATTATACTATAAAACATAAAACAAAAAAGTGAAATAATACGTACCAAGGAAAAAAACTCGTCCAGATTCTGCATCTCTCCGTAATTAATTTCAACAACTCGAACTGAACGTATGAGCCAGACTGAATCGCCGCGCAACCAGAACCAGACCTCCACCTTGTATATCCCCTCCAAATACCGGAATAACGCACCAACCACCGACCACAGAAACACAAGCAAAGACAAACGAAGACACGCACAAACACACTCAAGATTCAATCCGAAACCTCCCACCATACCCTGTAAACGGAAAAAGACGAACAAATCTACTCTGAAAATTTTACAAAACCAAGACTGCCGATAGCTTCAAATTATGCACCGGAACATGTGCACTATAAATCAACACCTCGTTAGAATAAAAATGAAAAGAGAAAAGAAAGCAATAGGCATTATCTCTAAACAAAAGAATTGCAATAGCACCAACCTACGAAACAAGACAAGGAAAACCAGATCACAATAGGAAAAGATATAAAAGAGAAAATAATACACTGCCAAAACTGTTAGGACTACGTTCAAAATACCTAGATACAACAAGAATAACCGGAACAATATCCAATAAGAAATACAATACCCCATAATAATTCTCATTTAGGAAACTATGCATATCCAGAACAAGATTCATACCTCACTAGTGACGAAACAATAAAAACAGGAAGACTAACGGATATTCCCGGAAATAGAAGCGATCACGAACAAACAATAAAAGAAATACCAGGAACACAGATTGAACACCCCCACTCCAAATAATAAAAACACGAGCTACGCCAATTGGCAAAAGTAACTCATCAGGGCGGAGCAATTGAAAATCAAGACTCCGAAACTAAAACCATGTAAAAAGCCTTACCCCACCAAGAAATAGTTGCAACATATAGCTAGAAAGGGCGTGCCAAGAACCAAATATAAAACGAGAACATTCTGCAATCGAGACACAGTTGAAAATACGGATAAAAACCAAGACAAACTAGACAACATGAACCGAACCAATTATAAAGAAAGAGAAGACCCCTCCTTACAAAGAGCAATAGTGCCAGAGGACTTTCCAAAAACCAGACTAACATTCTCGGAGAGCGAAGACTTTAACGATGCACTGGCAGCTTGCATTGACCAATATACAGAAGCACGAACAAGAAAAGGAGTCCGAATCCAGCATATCACGTTCAGCGATTTTTACAAGAAAAACGGTGGAATCGTGGTTACGTGTGAATCCAAAACAACGGTGAATTGGCTGGACAAGGCCATAAAATATATCAAAATGCCAAGCGGTGTGAAATTAAGAACAGACGACAGATCCATACTGGAACACAGGTATGTAAAAAGAAAATAACGCACATAACACACACAATTTTCTCTCAAGGAACAACTCAATTATTGACAACCCCAACATAGAATTATCCGAAGAAATTATTTTTATAGATACATAATAGAGGGCAAAGCAACACACTCTAGATTTAATACCACTAATATAATCGAAACAATTGGACGATTCAATAACGGATTAGACGTCTCAAAATGGAAGATAATGGGAGAACGAACAGCGAGTGGAGGTAGAATAATGAAAATAGAGATTGATGGAAGATCATTGGGAGCAATAAGAAAAAGGGCAAATAAGCTGGCACTTGACAAATACCTTATTCAACGATTTTACATTTTAACGGTAGAACGAACATCAGGTAACAGAAACAACGATACAGACAGAGACACAGAAATTCGCGACGAAGATTTTGAGTGGGCGCAAGTCACAGACACAAATCGAAACGACCAAGCGACTCCAGAAAACATCGGGACAATGAATAATGAAGACGTATCCATGATGCTGATAAGAGAATTAGAGGAAGTGTCGCAGGAATCCAACGGCCTATTCGACAAGGAAGGCGATGACATACTTATGGACCTAACAACGGGACCGGACGAAATCATAGAAGCCACTCCACCGCAACCAGAACAGCCATCGACCAATCAATCAGTAAACAAGACTGCAATAAGGAAAGAACGTAACAAGGAACAGGGCACGGAAATTTGGACAGAAACCCCAAAAACAAGCAAAATAAATACCCCGCCAAGGAACAACCATCAAAATGAAATCGAACATGACATTGAAATTATGCTGTCTGGCGTAACAAAAGAACCACAATCGACAAACGCCAAGACCTCTCACAAAAAAGGACAGAACAATCGGAAAATAGGAAAACACTGAACACGTTAAAACTTTTTACAGACAGACAAATGTATCTAGAATATATATCAAATAAACTCATATCGTTTGTACCTAATAAAAGCAATAAAAACCACCCAGCAAGATATTGAACTCTCAACCTGATCGAACACCACATAAATCCATTTAAATAACAATAACAAAAACCACCTGAGAAACACTGAAACCTTAATCCAAATCCACTACATAACAACAACATTAATAACAAGAACACAGCAGCCACCCGATAGACATTAAACTCTTGAAAATACATACCCGATCAAACACCCACGTAACAAATTCAAACCTCCCGACATCCTTCAAAAAAGAGAAGAGGAAGAAAGAAGAAAGAAAGGAAGAGAGAGAACAACCCCGAATACATCCGTAAGCTAATGCAGAAATCTCTCGTAAAAAGAGTAAAGTACGTACAACAATGCACCAGCTCTAAATATGATAATAACAGAAAATCCCATACGAACTATAACGCGAAACAAACTACCAACGTACTAAAAACAGGAAAACAATGAAAACACTACAAGAAAAACAGGAGAGGAAGGGTAAATAACAATAAAAGTCCTTTAGAAAACAAAAATATAACAAAATATATATACTTTAATTCAGAAAACACACAGGAACAAGTAATACGTATAGATTAAGTCAAGAAATAAGATCGGCCGAGCAAACC